CCTGACTCCACGTGAATCACCCACTGTGGCTGAAGTTCAGTACCAAAAGTACCTCCACAGGGCAGCCGATATCAACAAAGGTGTCAGCCATCCTGATATAAATAAGTAAATACATACATGAAATAGGACTAAAAGCTCACTAATAATTGGACTAAAAGCTCACAAATCCTCTTCTAGGCACCACAATCCCAGCCAAAAACCCACCTCTGGCCATCTTCAGCTCTCAAGAGCTTTTGTATTCTTACCTCACGAGCACTCCAGTATGAGCCCATCCTGCTCCCAGCTGCATATAAGTCAGATACAGATGTCAGTTCACTGTTAGAGGCAACAGGTGGCAATGATTCACGAAGTACCTCTGCAAACTTCAAGGAGGCACCTGCTGAGGAGCAAGTAGTTTATCCATGCTCCGCCTTCCTCATTGCCTGAAAGGGAAAGTATGAAGAGAGAAGAGGAGGGAATTTGCTGCGTTTATTTCATAGCTAAATATGAGAGGTGTGTGTTTGGGGAAGGCTGTACACACCAAGGTGCCAAGAGTTATCAGCAGTTCAAGATAAGGGAGTGATGACACATAACTTATGCATGGATACCTATGACTTGGCAGCCTAAGCAATGAATGAACCAGAGAAGATAATAGTAGCTACATGTAGGCTGGAGGAAACCAGTTCTACAGCACCCCAATCAGCAAACAAAAATATCGTGGATGAAATAATATTTTAAGACCTTTTGTTCAACAAAAGTTTATTTATTTACCTTTTCTTGGAGGTAGAGAGGCTTGAGTTGTTTGCTAGTAGATGTTTCCCCAATCTAATACATATATTTGTCAGTGGGATATACATTTTCCTGCTTTCAGAAGCCTTCCACAAACACGAAACTTCTGAGAAACCAAGACAAAGCCCCAAAAATTCTCCTGCAAATTAAAGCATATATTGATTCATCTTAAATATTAACATCTTGATATTTTAAGTACAATGCAGTGTCATCCAATTAGGACACAAAAATGACACCAAACTCTTCATATTTCTGGCAGAGAACTATGCAGCAGCAGATATGCACATGAACAGCCCTTGCACAAGTCCTGCTACTAACTTGCCCAGATGTCTGAAATGAAACTATCACTTCAGAACTACAGGAGGTGATACCGTACGCTCACAGTACCCACAACCTGTCTTTCCCTTCCACACACACAGACATCAGGAAAAAACAAAATAAAAATAAAAAACAAAATAAAGACAACTGACAACTTTACATTGAATGAAAATTACTTTAGTCATCAACTATTTTAGGATTAGAAATCTAACCTCAATACCCTTTCAATTAAAGAAATGTCAAAGCTTCAAAACAAGCTTGGCCAGCAGACTGGGAGAGGTAATTCTCCTCCTCTACTCTACTCATGTGAGACCCCACCTGGAGCGCATCCACCTCTGGGGCCCCGACACTGGAAAGGTGTGGACCTGTTGGAGCAAGTCCATAGGAGGTCCACGAATATGAGGAGAGGGCAAAAGCACCTATTTTATTAGTCTGTTCTGCAGCAGCTGAACTGATGTTTCCTGAGCCATTCCCCTGAGAAAGTCTAACTGGGGGATGAAGGGCTGCAGTAGCACTGAGACTCTGGAAGATGACGTTTTTCCCATAGGTAAAAAACCAAAAAAACCCCAACAACCTCCCCCCCCAACAAAAAAAATAAAACCAACAAAACAAACACACACACAAAATTGCACCAACAACAAAAAAAGCATACAAAGCAAACAAAAAACTCCCACAACCAAAAGCAAAACAAAACAGAACTAAACCCAAGAACTCTAATAAACACAACTGAGAAGTTGTGGTGCTCACCAAAACATCTTTATCACACCCCCTTTTCAGCTGGACAATGGAGAGAAAACAATGAAAACTTGATGAAAGGCTCGTGGGTTGAGATAAGGTGAGGAAGAGATCATTCACCAACTACCATCATGGGCAAAACAGACTCAATATGGGGAAATTAACTTGATTTATTACCAATCCGATCAGAGTAGGATAATGAGAAATAAAACTTAAATCATAAAACACCTTTCCCCCACCCCTCTCTTCTTCACAGGTTTAGCTTTACTCCTGATTTTCTCTACCTCCTCTACTCTAGCAGTTCAGGGGGACAGGAAATGAGAGCTGTGGTTAGGTCATGACACATGACCTCTGCAGCTCCTTCAGTGGAAGGACCCCTCACACTGTTCCCCTTCCCCAGTATGGGGTCTCTCCCATGGGAGATAGTCCTCTATGAACTTCTCCAACTTGAGTCCTTCTCACAGGCCGCAGTTCTTTGCAAACTGCTCCTGGGGTGCAGTCCTTCAGAAACAGACGGCTCCAGCATGGGTTCCTGCCAGCAAACTTGCTCCGGTGTAGGCTCCTCCCTCTATGGGAGGTCTTTCCAAGGACCTGCTCTAGCACAGGCTTCCTACAGTGTCACAGCCTCCTTCAGGCATCCAGCTTGGAGCATGTGAATATCTGCTTGCATGTGAATATCTGCTCCGCCATGGACCTCCATGGGCCAGAGGGGGACAGCCTGACTCTCCATGGTCATTTAACAGCTGGTTAAATAGTTAACAACTGTTCAGCACAGGCATCAGGTGAACCTCAGGTCCAAAGCCTTGAGCACCTCCTCCCCCTCCTTCTTCACTAACCTTCATATCTACAGGGCTGTTTCTCACATTTCTCACTCCTCTCTCTGACTGCAATTGCTATTGCACAGCATTTTTTCCCGTTCTTAAACACCTTATCCCAGAGGCACTACAGCTGTCACTGATGGGCTCAGCTTTGGCCAGCAGTGAGTCAACCTTGGAGCCAGATGGCATTGGCTCTGTCAGACATGGGGAAAGCTTCTGGCTGCTCCTCACAGAAGCTACAGGGGCTGCCTGCCTACCAAAACCTGCCCATGTAAGCCAAATACAGGAGTGTTCAGCTGAGGTAGGGAATGACCGTATCACTCCAAAACAGCTGAGAAACAACCACTTCTGGGATAACTCAAGGAAAGAAAATGGAGGACCAATCTCCAGACCTCTGTCACCTCTCCTAACCAAGGGGTAGGCTCTGTGGGAGTTTCCTCCACAGTACGTGCTGGAGGAAGCATGGAGCTGGAGGAAGCCCATCCCAGACACTGGCTGTCAAGTGCCTCTCCTTGAAGAGAATCTACTAGCAGTCCCAAATCAGGACTTGGGACAAAACATCTAGTGTGAACATATGAAATGCCACATCAGCTGCTGAGAAGATACTCTTTCTGGTTTAGTTCAAATTACCTGAGATTTTAGGGTGCATCACAAATTCTGAAAAGTGACGTACAGAAGGTGGAGCAGGCTGTACAAGGAATCCTCAGAGAACTGTTTTCATTGTCTCAATAATACATGTTTTCTGACCAGTCTGAGGCTGGTAAAACCAGGAATGAGCAGGAATGCTCGCCATTCACAATCAAAAAGTCCACAAGCAAAGTCAAGCAGAGTATCTAATCCTGACAAAATATCCCCAACAGGTAAAAACAGCTGAAAAGTGAAATTGCACCAGAGTACCTCAGGGAGCCTGAAGACTTGGCAAAGTGGATGGAATACCTAGATCTTAACAATAACAGGAGAACTTTGATAAATATGACGATATCCTCCATGGCAGGCATTAAGGAGTCAGTCACTATGCCCATTTTGGCAGTTCAGGTACCTTACTTTGAGCTCATGAGTGGTGGATCAGATAAAACAGTGAATGGAATTTTAGAAGATAAGGTTGAAATTGTCTATGTACCTTGTTGGAAAATTTGTGGAGAAAAGAGACTTCTGTAGCTCTTACCTACTTGTTTTAGGCCAGGATCTACAAAGGAGTTGAGGTACTCCTGTAAGTCTCATCTTGGCTGACCTTTGACAAACTCCCAAATGCCAGCATCTACCTTTCTTTCACAATGGTTCTGTAGGACTATTATCAAGAAGTCAGCAAAAAATAACTTCTTAATCAGCTCCAGCTCTAGAAAAGAACACCTCTCTTTTTCGAGTTACCTCCGAGGAATAATTCACACTAGAAACAGAAGCTAAACATCTCTCTCTACCATACTTTCTTGGTCCTTAGTGTTTTTGTGTGATGCACTGGGATGAAGTGAACAGAATATTGGTATCCTACTGCATTTCTCCAGTATGGTTCTCTTGTGTAATTACCATACACTCTGCAATCCCTTTTACATACTATCCATTTTGGTAATAGTTCAATTCACTATATTGAACAAGCTCCAGATGATGCTAAAGCAAAATTGCATTTTAAGAAGATAACTGCAGAACACACATGTGATCTGGGACAGAACACAGTTGATTGTGACAGGAAATGGCAATGGTCCTTCAAGACAAACCTGTAAGTTTGATTTAATTGATAAGAACACATGTCACCAAAGACCTAAACGGCCATGGATCTGTACCTCCATTATCTAATACAAATTGGAAAAAATCAAATATCCTTCATAAGATATTTATTTCACAACAGTTCATGACAAAAAGCACCTGGAAAACAAAATTCTTTAAAGGCAGAAGACCATTTAATTCAAGTTATTAAAACCAAGTAAAATTATTTCAATTGATACTTCATGGTCACCACCTTCTGTGTCTGAGGAGGGCTTTATGGACTTGCTACCAATAGTCTCAATGAAGTGCCGGAATATTTTGCATATGCAAAAATATTAGCAACTAGCCACCAAGACAATAGGAGGTTGCAGACAGAGAATGCTAAGCTATTTCCCTATCACACACAGCTGAATTTTTGCCTCTTGAACATCACAGTGAGATGGGGTTAACAACATAGAGTGCTGTGTTTGATACTACAGCTCTGAATCAGAAAGCAAGTACTGCTTAGTAAATTAAACTACATGGCTTGGAAACAAACACTTCCAAGTTTTCATTTTTGAGAAGTTTACTTAGAAGGAGATGGCCCCTGTCAAGCACAGTGAAGTAGCTATCACATGTACTATCACAGTAAATATTTAGGAAGGGACAGGAAAATGCTATTCAAGCAGAGGGCTGTGCTTGTGATACTGGCTGGCTAAGGGCTTGTTTCTTCCGTGCCACAGCCATGCGCAAGGCCTGAAGAATCATGTTCTCATTATTCATGATGTTGTAATTAGTCAGCTTCAGGAGCTTGTTAAAATCTTCTGCTTTCAGTGAGACCTCTCTGGTTGAGTATGGAGAGCAGAAACTGGAGATATCAACCTTGCCCTGTTCCATTTCAGCAGCAGTGCGTGACATGCCTGTCAAAGGAAAAAAGGAATGTGTTTGTACAGTCCCACAGAAATACCATACTCTGATAGAATACATCAAGAATAACTAGGAGAGATCACAGGTGCGATTACTATGATGACAAGTGCAGTGCTATGCTCTAAAAAATCTACTTCTGAACAAAGCCTATTGGAATGGAAAACACAAACAGTGGTGTCACTAAACGTCATTCCATTGCAATCAGCACCTTCTACTGGTCAGTTCATGGCACATCATTTTATGTGGTCACTAGTGCTCACATCTTATGCTGCACATTCTTGAGTACAGTACAAACTAAAAGGAATAAAGAGATACACAGGACAGGAGGAAGCAGAATATTAGTAGCCTTGGAAATCGTCATAAAAGCAACGTCTCAAATACTCACCCAGAAGGACACAGTACATATCACTTTATGTACTATTGCTTTGATTTTCCAGCATAGTCAACCAACACATTAAATGGCCTAAATAGAAAGCACAGTGGTACTCCACAGAACCATTCTATACTGTGATTCTCCCCTAGATCTGACTGTTATAAAAATACATAATCTGAAAAATATGCTTTGTTCTACACATTAACGTAAACATTTGGAAATTACAAGGAAAAAGTAGTTTCCATTCCTCTAATTGAGGAACACGTTCCTTCTTTTACTGAATTACATCAAGACTCAAACTAAAATTATGCACAAGATTTCACCAGATTTTGCAAACAGTTTGAATCATCACATTTTGCAGTATAATCGCTAGTAGGAACAAGCAAACAAAGGAGTTTTGTATTGGGATGAGGAAAAAGCACCCAGAGAGTGAGAAAGCTCACTGAATCATTAAAATTATCTGTGTACTGTTAACTTACCAGGTGCTACATATCTTTGAAAGGTATCATTCACTAATGGAAAATAAAGCAGCAGAGGAGCTCCTGGGGTGTCTGCACCATCAAACATGTAACACTCTTTCAGGTTCTTCTCGTCATCCTTCAGTCCAATGCAGGGAAATGGAATTCCCTGCTCTGCGAAGTACGTGCAAGCCTGCTCCAGGGGCTGGTTGTGGCCCAACAGCAGCAGCATAAGGAACAGAGAAGATACCCAAGATCAGACTGGTGCCAAAGCCTAGTAATTCATGCCAAATTGCACAAAAACCAGACTGAGAGCACTGGACAACCAGCAATAATGTGAGCACCTGTAGCCCCAGGGACTGCTTTTCTGTTGCCTGAGGAGACATTTGGAAATAGTCTTAACCAAATTTGCAGTCCAAGACAGTAAGATTCACGGTCACATTATCTGTTTATATAGCAGTATAACTTGTCCATTGACCTCAATAGGTTTTAGTAGGGTTTTGAGACCAACCTACCCATTTCTATAACCCTGAATTTCAGAAATGAGATTTCAAGCTAACATATTTTAGACCTCAAAATATAGCACTAAAAACATTCATCAGAAAGCTCATTTGTGATGACCAATTTTGTTAAATTATCTAACAAAATACTATCACCTCAGTTGGAATTAAATATTTCCAAAAGAATTCTGAGTACAAGAAAAAAACATAGTGCAATATATTTTTTTTTCAGCTGCAGTACAGAGACTATTATTTTTTATGTGGCTTCACAGTGTAAGAGCACCATTAAAGTCTCTTCCACTCAAAAAAATGACAGAACCTTAACCAGTGAAATTCGTGTTTTCAGTGGTGTCCCTCAGGGTCAGTTTACAATTACAAGTCTACATTTTGAAGTCTAAATCTGTCTGTTTATGTGTGGAATATCACTTTCAAAATCTATGTAACCATTTTAACCAAATCAGATTCCTGCAAACATAGTAAATGCATTTGATATCTTGTTTAAAGTCCACTATTCAAGAAGAAAAACTGTATTTGTTAAAAGAAAAAGATGAGGAAATTCTTCACTTGCTGGGTTGTTCCTGGACAGCTAGTAAATCACATAAAAAGACAAATAAAATTTTACATGCTTAAGCAAAGTACAGATTAAATTCAGCATCCAAATCACTAAGTTTTTCCGGCTATATTTGCGTTATTAAATCTTACATATAACTATAATAGAAGTTGCAGCTTGACCTTCATAACTTCACTATGCTGCTCTATATTTCACTTGTGAAACACTTAGGGCTATTTCAAAAGTAGCTTGAGAAAAATAGAGAGATTTTCTTCTCTATAAATTTCCATTCCTGTTTTGAGATTTACAACAGCATGTTACTAAATTCCACTAAGTTCCACGTTTTGTAGACACCTGTCTAAAAGTTGTGAAAAGCAAAGGAAAAGCTGTTACTAAACAAAAACAGTTTTGAGACTTCTCACCAAAGTCTGTGATCCCCCTGTGTAATTTAAGTGTATGATGACATCCACTTTCCGCTCTGGTCTCATAAGGGGTGGGTAACTGGTTTCAAAGAAGAAAGCTGCATCCACCAGCTCCAAGTGTTCTGAGTTGCCTCTCAGGTCATTAGGACAGGTGTCTAGCAAAGTGTCTAAAGAGTAGAAGATTCAGAGCTATTAGCAAACTGCAGAGATATCTGTCAAGTTAGAAAGCAAAAGGAAGGTGAGCTTCCCTCCCATCCAGAATCTTCCTTTACTTTAGGGTAGCATGCAGCAATCCTAAAGCTCCTTCACCCTCTCCACTCAAATTTTGTTAGTGTTTCTAAACCCACGAACTGCACCAAACTCTAGGCAGATGTTGCCTATGTCCAGAGCCCCACCCTAGCATTTTTCTTCCCAGTGAGGACTTCGAGTACCAAAATGACCCAAAAACTGAACAGTTGTATTATTGAAAGTGAAAGGTGTGAGGAGTTACTCAGTTCTCCCTCCTGTCAGTAAACATAAAACTCATTCAATTCTCTTCAGGACATACAAACGTCTCTCGCTAGTTCCCAGCCCCTGAGCCTGCCACAATGACTGCTGAGACATGTAGGCAGGAGAGCTGACCACACCTTTCCATTTTGTGAAATGTTCATGCTGGATATACTCATTGTGCATCTGGAGGCCTCTTAGGAAGTTGTGGTACTTGGAGACAGCAGGGCGATCTGTCAGGATATCCCGGAGAGTTGTGGAGAGGCCGCTCGTAGGAGTGAAAACGCATGTGGCCATCTCATATGGCTTCTCAGGCAAGTCTGGTTGTTCCTCTAGAGGTACATGGCATAAATGACATGCAACTGAATTATAACCACAAATAAGAAGAGGCTAGACACAGAGAGGAGAACAAGTCTTCTGTACCAATAGTAATCATGTGTTCCCAGCTCTTGGCATTGTGATAGTTCTAGTTGGTTCAGGTGTGGACACCTGAATTCAACAGAAAATTGCAAATTATTTATATAAATCCGAGCATAAAGTTTGGAGGTTTCTTTTTCTGAAAACATGGTCCACAGGAATGGTACATAAGTGTGTTCACTGGCTTTGCTTGAATTTTAACATGAAGATGCTCATGAGTATTTTCAAGAAATGGTCTTTAAGTATGGAGCTGCCTCTCTCAGCTGATGTAACAGAGCTCCACTACATTTACTTCATTTGACCTCTACTAAGTCTTTCGGTTTAGTTAGATTTTGAGAGAGGGTTATGCTGTGTAGGGCAAATAGATGTTGAAACAGGAACACTCAAGCTTCTCTCTGGCTGAAAAATAGGCTTTGACAGAAGGCTTTGACATGAGGCTTTGACAGAAGTATTTCTTTCAAACCTTTTAAACACAACGCTTTAGGGACCACCTGATGTATCCATCACTATCTCCAAGGCCTGTCTGATGGTGCCTTTCCTTCTTATCACAGTCTCACTATTTATGCAAAGCACCAACTATTCAGTAAAATCAAATCACTTGAGTTTTCTGGTGTGTCCCATACCCAGAGACTGAGAGCAACAGGATGACAGAAAAACTCAAAAAATGAGAAATGTGAGTGCCGTTAGCCTGTTAGAGGGGCCTAGAGGAGGGTACTTTTATTTACCTATTTCAGTCACTTTGTCTTGGGTCCACCTGTGCCAGAAGTCCTCTGAATTGTCAGCTGCGTGCCAGGCATCCAAGAGGTTTTTGGAGAAGATACTACTCCACATTCCTAGAAAGTGGAAGAGGCATAATAAGTAGTGTTGAGGTAAACACAATTAAGTTCTTTTAAAAACTGCCTTCTGTTCCTTCTGCAGCTCTTCTGTAACTTTTTCATATTTCTACGCAATTTTTGCACAAGTCCAGACACCTATTTCAGTGATAGATCAAACTCCAAAGGTAAACTTATTTCAGAAATAAATTCAAAATCTTTTCCCTCCCACTATGTTTTATCTGGAACATTTTTTTTTTAATTTTACATCGTCATTTTCCTGTTTTCATTTCCTTTTTCTGTTGATAAAGGAATATTTTCAGCTAGCTCCTTCTCTGATTACCCTCTTTCTTGCTCCATTTTTTTCTTTTTAACTTTTCCATTAGCTTCCACAAAATTTCATAGATTTCCAACTTCGAAAATTTTTTGCAAGTTATGGGAAATAGTGATGCCTCAAAAGCACTCACAAAGGTACATGACAACTTATTTGTTATTTTAGTTTCATTTTATCATAGTCCAAATGATAAAACCACCTTTGCTAGCAAGGGTAGTTGAATGAATCTCAGGAAACATAGAATTATGGAATATCCTGAGTTGGAAGGGATCCACAAAGATCATGAAATCCAACTCCTGGCCCTGCACAGGACAACCCTAAAAATTACACCATGTGCCTGAGAGCATTGGTCAAACTCATCTTGAACCCTGTTGGGCTTGGTGCTGTGACCACTTCCCTGAGGAGTCTGTCAGCTGACTGACCCGGTACCTGTGCTTCCACATGCATAACAACAGGTTTCTGGGGACTGATTTCCCGAATTACTGGTGTTTGTATTAAAATCTTGCCAATCCCCCAGGCTGGTGAGTCACCTTGCATGAAACAGATTCGGGACTCAGGGAGCTTCTTCATCAGGCGCCCCATGAAGAACTCACTGCCAAAATCCTCTGCACGAATGAAGGCGCCATACTTCAGGAAGCCCACCTCGTATGGTGTGAACTCCACCCACTCTGCCAATACATGCACAAACAACATTAGCTCCACTACTGAAAAGAGTGCAGTTGCCAGTCTTGGAATAAACTTTTCAGGTGTCAGCTCTTGCGGGTAAGCTGGCTTAGCACACATCCTGAGTAAACCCTACTGACAGCCACTTAACCAACTATCTCACTGTCTATGAGTTTGTGAAACAGCAATGTCAGAACTAAGGGAAAATTTTAATTCTTCTTTCTTTTTATCTAGTGAGTGCAAATGTTTCTCATGAAGGGTGGACTAGAACACAGATTGATTTCTATTGCTTTTATTGCCTTTAGCCAAGCATTAAAAACATAGAATCATAGAATGCTTAGATTGGAAGGGACCTTAAAGATCATCTAATTTCAACCCTCCTGCCATGGACAAGAACATACATTAAGCAAATATAAAGGTCCAGTGAATCCCTTTCTTTAAGAATTCTTAGCAGTCCTGAGATTGTGTCATAGAATTATGTTGTGTTATTAGTCTGAAATTAATATCTGAATATGCACAATCACATGCCAAGAGAGTTTACAAAACACTGAACTGTCACTGTCTATCCTGTGGCTGCCCAGTTACTCTTTACATTTCGGAACAGCACTTCTAGTGGCTTTGAATGAGAATTTAAAACAATTCATCATGATTTACAGTATCCCCACAGTGTATCTCCCTAGTTGAAAATATAGCTCTTTTTCAGATTTGAAACATTACCTCTAAAATCTTTGGTGGCAACTTTGTCCTTGACATTCAGGGCGAGGTAGATGGGCAGAGGGTTCTGACCTTGATTCACTGCCTGACGTTGATCAGAAAGTCTATGGTGGCTTTTCTGGATTTAGAAAAAACCTGAAGAGTTAGCTGATGATCAGTTCTTTAAAGACATCAGCTTATAAAATCTGACATATGATTTTCCTAAATTTCCTCCTGAATTTAATTCCATGTGCTTGAATAACAGAGGACAAGAAAATCATGTTAGCAGGAATAATTTCTGCTAAGATAACCATTCATGTTTTGCATTCTGTATACATTGACAGCAATGAGTTGCTTCACATGCTTCTAGCTTTACATTTTTAAATGTAAGTCAACAAACAGGGCAGATCTGAGTAATTCAGCTGTTACCATATACTTCATCTGTTAATCATAAGGGTTCTTCAAGGCAGCATGTTAACGATCCTTCTAATCTTTTTTTTTTTAAATACTATATTGAAAGTTAACATCCACAGAGCAAAAATCCTTGAGCTGTCCAATACTAAAAATTTATACATGAAATGGAGATTTTGAGTATACTCCAACCAAATTAAATTCTAGAAAGTTTTGCTATGCAACACTGAGGTTTGAAATACAGTGTGAAATATGATATGAAATGAGATTATTTCATTTTATCTGTTTCCTCTAGACAAAACATAAACCATGTTTACAGGATTTAAAAATAAAATAGCTTTTTCTCCAGCTATTTTCAGGCTTCTAGTTTATACGGAAGGTTTTGCTTGTGTCATTATAACAAAATTAGAAACTGGAGGTCCAGAGAGGTCAAATTCAAAGTGGCTGAAAGGCACCTGCAAAATCATAGTTTTGGCAGTTAAGATGTCTCAGGAGCTCTGGATCTATATAGTTTCTTATCACTAAATCCCAAAGTTCCATACATATGAGGTACATCTGCAGTACATTCAGGTTACGAGTGCAGCTAGTGTAAATATTGCAGCAATGGAGAGATAAAAACATGGGGCCATAAAAAGCACCTAAGAAACTTAAAATTTTCTTGGACAGATACAGTGTTAATTAGCTGGTTACTTTAGAGCTAGTCTGAGCATTTCTATGTTACATTCTATGACACTTTAGGCTCCAGTGTAGACATAATCTATCTCCAAGTTATTAATGTAAATAAGTGGTGTTCTGCCTGCATACCGACTACAGTGTTATTGAGCAGGTTCTCTTCCTAGGGCTTTAATTTCTTATAATGGTCATAAATATTAAGTCAACAACTTTATGAGAAGAAAGATGTATAGACATTACCCCATCATTCAACATGGATTCAATCATGAGCCCCCACAGATCAATAAAAGAGGTTTTATGTCCTGCTTGGGTCCTTTGGCTCAGCTCTCTGTAATAATTCCTTAGACTTTTCAAGCAAAAAGCCCCCATCTTGCACTTGGCTGCTTGCTTCCGTGCTTCAATAATTATTTCTCCGAGATCCTTACGTGACCAATCAGCATCTTCATATAGCTTTGTCATTGTCCTGCAGGTAGGAAACATGATGGAAAGCAGGGGAAAATGAACAAGATCCTTTTGAAGCTCAGAGAATACACTTTGCAGAGCTTTGGGCACTTACTGTTTTATCTTTTAGTTACTCTCCTCTTTGAACTTACTTTGAGCAGAAATGCAAGTCTAAAGGCAACTAGTCAAAAATCACTTGATCTGGGATCCAACACAAGCATCTACACGAGCTGTCTATGCTGTTTCTGTCCAACAATAAATAATCATAAAGCATCATTTTTGCATAGGATTAAGGATGTTCGCCCTTCCAATAAAGTCTACTCTTTTGGTTAGGGATAAGTTACTTCAGTGACACTAAGTGTATGATGTACAATAGTCCTTTCATAGATGACCTTGGCATTAATAGCCCAAAGATGGAAGCAATAATTCAATTCACCACCTTTACCCTGAGACCAAGTCAAAGCATGAGTTTTTCTTAACACAACAAACTCCAAGCAACAGTATCAAAATGTCTCCTCACCATGTTGTGCCAGATGAGCCACTGATGTACGAAATACAATCCAGAACACGCAACTTTTGAAGGCCCAAAATGCTGCCATACATGCCAGTAAGTGCTCTTATCCCACATCCTGCTGTGGTCACAGCCACTATAGGCACCTGTTCAAGACAAAAAAAAAAAAAAGAGAAGAAAACATAGATGGAAAAGTGGCATTAAGAAACAAACAATGTCAAAAGATTACAGAAATGCAAAAGTAACATCCAAACACTAGTAAAATAAACACATACATTAGAGATAAAGCAACACTGCTCTATAAAGCTGCAGGGCATCCCTGTGGAATATATTAGATCTTGGCACTTCAGGAAGGATTTTTATGAAACACAGGCCAAACCTATTGGTTTGAAGCTCCTTCAAGTGAGTCAGTTGAAAGCCAACTAGAAACAGAAGCTCTGGTCATCCAAACAGACAGCTGAACTGTCCAGTTGAGATCATTCTGGTGGCAAACAGCACCCCGGAGGAGAAGCTCCTTTCACTCATTCAGATGGAGGTAAAAAATCACTTCTTATCTCCAGGTCTGAGAGAAAGGAGAGAGAAAAATCCACCAACAGTACCCTTCCTGATTACCTCATGCTCTTGCAGATCTTCCTCCAAATGAAGAACATCCTTTAGTGCAGCAGCAACCACCTTCCTCCGGTTTTGCAGGAAATTCTGTTCATCAGTGCAGAGGTCGAACCCCAAGCGGGCATCTAGGTTTCTTGGCCAGAAACACAGACCCTGAGTCCTGTGACCAGGGCAAAAATGTTCTTATTGTGGACATCTCCAGCTGTGCTTGTGTGTGTTTACAGACCAGATTGTGGACAGTATAACATAATAAATGAGAAAGAACAACACACTTCTGGTTTTATTTGCTCATATAATTATTTTTTCAAGTTTCAATAGTTGCTGCCATACCTGCCTATAACTAGGCAACCACTGTCAACAGGCACTGCAGTTGAATAGGGAAACAGCTACCATGCCTTGAAGTCACTTGTATAATTCAGAAAAATCATTTCTTTGCAAAGCTGCTCTATCCATCTGTGGGCACAGTAGTGCACACAAATCAAGATCTATTACTGAGATGCACTAGCAGTTTGGAAATTTGGAGGAAAAGGGACTCCTGATTTAATTCACCATCAATGTGAAAAGGAAAACCTGGCAAATAATGAACTCACCTATCTGCTTAGAACTGGACTTGCACAGCCCCCTCTGATTTCAAATGAGCTTTGTGTAGGAGCAAATGTCTCCTAGTTAGTGGACCAGGTCTTGCTGGAGACTCACTTACCATTCATTTGCCTTTGTGTACAAGTCAATTGTCCTGTCCTGAAAATCACAATACAGACAGTGTAAGCAGTGTAACCTGTGCCTTCCTTCCCTATTCCATCTAGGGCCTGAGTTTCCCTGTCTTGGAAGTATGAAACATAGCTGGAGAATCTGGCCAGCAATGGTCTGGGCTGTGAGGGACATTAACAAGCTCCAGCACTGCCTGAGTTGAGTAGAAATGGGCCATTCACAGAAGCCAGGTGGGCTTAGGGCTCCTCAGCTTCTCATAGTTTAACCTTCATTTTCTGGGAGGGTCATTGAAAGCTGGACATCTGAACCACACACATATGGATGTTCTCTGTTTGATCTTCTGTTTCAAGCATCCCCTTTGCAAATGTATATCTTACTTGTCATATCCATTACTGTTAGTTCACATACTATGTTGATGAACATACATATTAGACATGTCCCGAGGAAGTTAGTTTAAACTCAGAACAGGATTACACAGGGTATGACTGGAACCACGTGCAGAATAAAAGAAAAAATAAATATTGCATAATTGCAGAGTGACTGTCTTTCACACCTTATACTGTAGCATGCTTCATGTCTCACAGGAACTGAATCACTGAACTGTAAGACTAATCATTCATCAAACTCATGGTGTTGGGCTACTTCGTGTTAGGAAAGATTTGTTCTCACCTCTGCTATTGTTATTTTCTCTTGTATAGGAAGTGAGTTTAGCGGTAGAGTCACAGACTCGTTCATATCCCTTTCATTTTGACTTGATGTAGACTGGAAAAATGGATGAGAGAAAAAATAAACAAGACAGTTACCTATTATACAAAAAAAGGAGGAAAAAAGTAAAAGCAGTCTCCCCTGTCTCACTTGCATGCATGCACTTATCAATTCCCTACATACACAGATTTGCACAAGCATTCAGATCTTAGTGGTCCCCAAAGAAATACACAGCAAATAGCCAGCTACGTGTTAGTGGCAATTACGTACCCTGCTGAGATGCCTCCGCCGTGGTAGAGCCACAGTGAGCGCCGACTGACTGTACTTGATGTAGTGGAACCTGGCCGGGGAGGTCGGGCAGAGACAGGAGCTCAGTGTGTGGGTCTGGGTTCCTTCATATGACCCGTCTACGGTTAACGCAAACTTTCTCTCTGAAGCAAAGGTGTTTCAAACTTAAGTTCTTCAAAAAATTGGGGTAATTTCTTTGCACAGTAATGTAACATATGTTTTTCTTGAGTAATTACTTCATTTTGACACCCAAATTATAGGAAAAATAAATAGACTGACTCATCTGAGGGTTTCAGCTTTCGAGCTGGTGTGCAGAACGTGCCATATAGCTTTAGCAGTACTGCACTTACATATATATGTGATTGCTGAGACTACTGCTGTATTCATTAGGTAAGGACTCACAGCTGATAAGAGTTTTGGGGGAAAATCACACTCTCTTCTGAAATTTTCAAAATACCTTAGTATTATACCAGAAAAACATTTTAGTATTGCATACTGTCTTATTGCTGAGATGTTTTGAAAATTCTAGACTTGGTGGAAAAGCATGGGGTTTTGTAGCAGAGAAAAACTCTCTCTGGAATCAGTAAAATCTCAGTCCCTCTATTATGTTTTCCTTTCCTTCAACCTGTAATATTTCTTTTGAAATATTTCTAGCACTTACAAAAATAGTGTCTGGTGGTTTTCTGTCTTCATGCAGTAAGCCTCAGATATGTCTGTTCAAGTAATTAAAAATGGTCTTTACATAGAATATCAGCCTAAGTTCAAGGTGAAATATACTCTGTAAATCCACACACTCCAAAGTATATAATCAGCCTTCAAAAGAATTATCCCACTCAAGCATCTTCAGTCACATCTATCAAACTTTTTCACTGCGACAGCTGAGTTCAACTGGATCACCCACGTGCTTAAGCAGTGTGCTGAATTGAGGTCATAAGGAGATGTCAGAATGAGATGTTTGAAAAGTTGCGTAGGAGGTACACAATTCCACAGGTCTGGACTTGACATGGTAGTGATACACTGCTTGAAATGTGCAACAAATGTCTCTGCTAATATACTGTGAGTCTTGTGATTCAGTAGTGGCATGTTTAATATTGTTATACCTAAAAAATTTTACTAAGTTAAATGGTAAAAGAGGCCTAATCCTCTTTCTGCCCATTTCCTTTTTCTCAGAATCCAGAAACAACAGGAGTTAGCTTGAGTGTAGGACTCAAAAAAATTCAATCCCTTGCACAAACACTTTGGAAAATTGCAAGCATCTGGCAAGATGTTACTGCAGAGGAAAATATTTTGTGGGGAAATTAGACCACATGCTCATCACACCACATTCTGGAATAATCTGTATATTTTTGATCAACCACAACCCCCTCCACAGGCCACTGGCATTTTGTCTGGCACCTTAAATAATTTTAAACTTGGATGTTCAAGTATAAAACACTAAGTGCTTTCACCATAAAGTGGCAACCAGATTTCCTCATTAAGTCAGTGAAAGGCTCACCCATAGTGTCCTTCCTCATCCTCCCACCGTTCACCTGCACCTCCAAACAGGAAACTTCACGGGACTGTAAGAGACAACCAGGGCAAGAGATAAAGGCATTTGCTATCAGTAGGGCTCTGCCTCCTCCAATCCCTTGGACCATAGGTCTCAGGGCATGCACCTCAAGGGAGAGGTAATGTAAGACTGTAATCCCCCTACCAGGTCTAGGGAGATGGGATCAGGCTTCCACATGGGAAATAACAGATCACGTAGAGATGAGGAAAGAGAAAGGATATACTTGCTTCTGCCTGGAGGAGCAGCCCTGCAAGGGCCTGGGAGAGGACTGGCCACAGGAGAAGACTCTCCAAACAATGCTCAGCCAAGCTGTCCCTGGGCAGATGGAGGGATGTCACACACCTGAGCCCAGCTCAGTTTAGGCAAAGGCAAGCGCTGGCAGCAGCTCACAGTTTTCGCAGCTTCAGCCTCTCCCAGCATGAATCACTATCTGGGACCGCGTGGGAAAGCCAGAGCTAACACCACCTTTAGCCTGCCTCTTGGTCAATGCCTTCATGCCACCATATGGAGCAACTGCCTGGTACCTTTAATACTAGCTTTGCAATAAACATTCATATATGGCAGGGAAAAAGATTATGAAATAAAAATTACCACTAAAACTCCATTAGTAACAATGTTTTCAGGAGGATCTGGACTGAAAGACAAAATGGAAAACAACCAATTCAAAACCAACACACTCTTCTTTTTCTTTTTTTCTTTTTTTTTTAACTCTTCTTTAATGGTTATTTCATTATCTCTGTCTTTAAAAGTCCATCTTCGGACAGGCAGCATGGACAAACAGTATCAGAAATTCTACCTGCACATTCAATCCATTTTGCCTCTCACAGGTTTGAGTCTGAACTTCAAACAATTTATGGACAAGTGCTGAACAGAGGAGCTCCTCACTGTATCAGGCAGGATTGTGTCCTGACACACCGAAGAAAATTTACACAGGGATGGCATATTTACAGGTATAATTACACTATTGCCCCATATTGTTCAGTTCAAATCTGTGGAATCAGAGCTAAAAAGCTGGTGAATTCATCCAACATTCCATTAAAAAAAGAAAAAAATACCATCAAATGATGGTACCTTAAAAATCAACAGCAGCACTAAGACTGATCTATATCATTCTCTCCATTAACTACACAGTCAGCACAGAAACACAGTAAAAAAAAATTTTAATCTATTCCTAAAACAAATTCCAAGTATCATTTTCCTGTAATCTTATGACAAAGAAAATATCTGGGATCCCACAATTAAGGAGAAAGAAGGGTTTTAAACTTATAACTTCCTTCTCTCATCAGAGACATCTCTATGCCCCCATCAGCACTTGTGCTCGCTTTTCTCTATGTCTGGATGCCCAGTGTAGAAGCATGCACATCATGCATGGTCATGCACCCCTTCTCCATTAAATGCTCTACAAGGTGTTTCCTGAACACCCAAATCTACCCTCTGCTTTATTTAGATGGTGACAGTGTTAGGGGTCTGCATGTGTAAACTTATGCTTTCTATCAGTAACCTCATGTCTCTGCCTTACATTTTGTTGCCTGTTTCACCTCACGCACCTGCTCTCCATTGTGAATTCAACCTCCAGCTCCTCTTTTCCCTGCAAAAGAAAACGAAGACAGTCACAGCAGGTTGGTCTCCCTGCAAAGAGAGATACCCTACAGGAATCTGTGCTCTTCAGAGTTCTTTATAAGCCAGTGTCCACCTCTTGTTACTGCATATGCCACAATTTTATTCATGTTGTATTTGGATACTTCTAGTATCACATACTTCTAGCATCATATCCATTAATTTAGCAAACTCCTAGTTTAGACCTTTGCAGGACACATGTAATACGTACTACAGGGCCTCTTGGTGGCTGTTCCCCCTTTCTGCAGTCTTGGGTTCCCACCTCCCACCTGCATTATTTCACAGGCCACTTACATTTTCCCTTTTCTTTCTCCTCACATGGGTTCTCACCCTCCCCACTGATTCTTAGCACGTGTGAAAGTGGATTTCTCCAGTTCATACAAATCATTCTGACCCTCTCCCAGCCCTCACTCACTCATGCAGATGGGCCTGGTGGCACATTAACATGGTGGCACACTTGGCTGTATGAAGCCCAGGGTGTTCTGGAGGGTGCACTTTGGTTTAGTGGAGTCTGTACACATAGACTCTTTGTGTGCTCATCTTTATCTTTTGTAATTGCTTGTCCCTGAGATTTTCTTTCTCATTAGAGGTTTTCATGCAATTCCCATGATCTTCTTGCCCTCCCAGTGTAAGCACTAAGGAGAACATGGCACGGAGAGCCAGCCTTTCCAAAAGAGGTATCAAATCAAATCAACATTCACTCAAGTCCTTCCAGGCCTAAACGTTGCCCTCGAAACTTTACTATGAAGTTGTCCCAACCACACGAAATTGAGATCTGATGAAAAACACAATTTTTTAAATAATTCAGTTCTGCAAGTGTTATGTTCATTTTCTAAATTAGCTAAAAGCCATACTGGGGTTGGGTTTACGACTGCAGATCATTACTTTTGTATTAGCAAAACATAACACAGAGCTCAAAACCACCAGCTGCAACTGCAAAACTAGTGGGGTAAACTCATTTTGACATCAAGGACAGTAAACAGACAATTAGGTCCAATTACATTGGCCAGCTCTTTCTGTAGAAGCACCGTCCAAAATTTGCCATAATTACAGAAACAACTGTAGGTATGAACCCCTGCAACACACAGACATACTCAGGTATGGACAGTAAGAAAAGCTTGTATAGGACACATAAAAGGAAAGCTGAGATACTCATATTCTCACCTGACTCCACCCCCTTTTCTTTGTCCTTGAAATTTATCCATACCTGTGGATTCAACTGGAAACTTAGCTGAATGTTTTCCCCAAGCTGGATTTTGGAGACATCAAAGAATACAGTGAGGAGATGGTCATCTTGAGTTACATTGTCCTCATCACAAACTTTTAGTTCCAGAATGTTCTGGAATAAAAATTAATTAATTATTTAATTAATTAATTAAATATTAAAGGTTTAACAGACATAACATGCTATAGATATTTTATTTTAGCTGAACAAAGTTGAGAAAGAATTTCAAGAATGAAAAAAATATAAACATTGCAGTTGCTCTCTACATACTTTATTGGCTATGCGGGCAGATACAGTCTTACCCAGCCATCAAAAGCTAAATAGGCACAGCAAGAGAGTGTGAATACAGTAAGAGAGTGTGAATACTTCTCAAGGGAACTCAGAAAGACCCACAGAATGGAAGGGCTATATGGTGTGTTTGATATCTGGTAAGAATAGCTGGAGGTATCTGCACTCTTACCTTAACCTGGCTCTGAATTGTGAAGTGGAAGGTTTCATTCCATGTTGGATTCTTGCTGTTCTGGACTGTCTTGGTGCGGAAATGCTGCACTGAAGCTGTTGGCAGGCTCAGGCTCACATAGCAATCAGACTGAGTTACTGTTGAAGAGAAGGAAAGTAGGAAAACAACGGATCAATGAAACAATCTAGTACCCCATAAGGTGGTGCACTGTGCGAATTTTTAAGCTCAGTACATAAAGCAATACACAGAATGCAGACCAACAAGTTAACTGGGGTACCATCAGGCCACTGCTAGACAACTGTCTTGCTTTACTATTGTGAAAGCCTGGCAGTGTGCTTTCTTGAGAATTACTTTTTCTAAATTCCTGGAAAAATAACAAATGCTCAAAATATGCAATTGTGTGGCTGAAAAGCCATCCATATGGATATGGGTCCGTACACACAGCAGTATCACAGGGCTGGGCACTGTGGACCTTAGCAGCTGTGATAGGGGCTACCAAATGGACAGAGCCCATCTTCTATATACTGGGCTTCCACAGGTAGGCATGAACATGCCTTAGTATGTCTAGAGTAGCTCTAGATTTATGTTTTGTCTCTTCTACCTTCTGGAGCATCCTTCCTTTTTTCTGAGACCTCTGGCTGCCAATGCAGCAGGGATAGGTGCTCATTGCATTGAAGGTTCCCATGAAGCCCCACTGCTGTCACAGAAGACACGTCTTCCACCAAGGTACCTGCTCTCAGTCTGTTTTCTTCCCTTTTTGGAAATTTAAAGAAAGGGGAACACAGTGCACCACAGACTTCAACAGCACAGATTTTCAAGACAAAAAAATTCAAGAAAAAAATTCAAGAGCTGTGGAGATGAGAGGAACTGAATTCAATCTTCTGTAAGTGGTTTAGAATGAGCACGGATAAGAAAAGCATTGAAAAGTTGAACAGTTTGATGACTAACATTTGCTTTGAGAAGCAACTGTCCTGAGGCAGGGTTTCACCAGTAAAACTGTATAAAAATATATATTGCTTAATGTCACTATTTTCACCTGCATATCTGTGCCTCAGCCAGCACAGTAAAGGTATTTGCAACACTAAATGTGCAGGTGAAAGCTCGTCTGTGTTTCACCGCAAGGAGAGAGCTGACGTGGCTTCTCTGCATGAAATTGCATTGCTTTTGCCTCCACTAGAGGCGAGTTCAGGTCATAAAGTTCCCCTACCAATTTTAATGTTCCCAGATGTAGTGAGGACAGCTTTAGTCTTTTTATTTTCCTTTCTCAGCTGAAGAGGCCAGTTGTAGGGTTGAGCTTCCCACCTGAGCTCCATCATAAGTGATGGACGTTAAGGGCCAAAGTTTTGGTATGAAACAGTCGTTAGGAGAAGTCTGCAGTGCTTATATCATCAAGCACTTTCATTCTAAGATCAGAATAATCTACCTGCTAATATATTTTGTCATCATTATTAGGAAATAAAAGACAAATGTGAATAATGAGATTAACAATCCCGTGGACCCACACTCAGAAGTCAGGGATGATTACCCTATAGAACACAATCTTTTGGTTAGGGATGACAACATATACAAGTGGCAAAGACAGCATGAGGAGTATTGCCCATAAGTGCCAATTCCATTATTAGAATTGCATTTCCTCTATTTGTAATGCCATGTACTCAGCATTCTTGCTGTTGCATAGCAAACAAACCTGAATGGTAGTGGAATAGGCTTAAGTCTTGTCACACTTAGTTTTACTGGTAGACCTGATTTGGGGAAACAGAATAATTGTCTTGGCCCTTTATTGTCTCCCCATCTGCAACTCAAGGGTTAACAAGGCCAGCCTTTTTCTGACCCCCATCTCCCCTGAGGCTTAAGTCATCTTTATTTCTTTTTTAGTAACTCTAAATGTAAAAACAGCTACTCTGACTGATGAAAGTAGTTGTATACTCTAAGATATATGAATTCTACAAAAATATCAAAATGCATAGACATCACCTGAGCTTCTAACAATTCTAATAGCTCTCAAAATTCTGTGTGTATACAGGAAATGTCCATATGAAAATCTTTTTTGGCTCTTAGGAAATCCAGACTGACATTAGAACAGATCGCTGGTGGCTCTTGTCCCCACTAGAAGGACCAGAAGGACCCAAATGGATAAGGCTATTGGTGAACCAAAGTTTATTTCCTTGACACTTCCCAAATAGCAACACATTCTCTGACTACTCTGTTGCAAAGAAAAAAAGTACTATTTTGAAAGTCCATCAATTATTTTTTTTCTGTAATTGATCACTCTCTGCTACAACACTGTGTCATACACCTGTAAGAAATAACTACCTGTCAGACAGCAGAGCTCTGACTTCTCATTTAGATCTCCGACTTTCTCTAGGGCACTTCTGACCCAGTCACTATACAAGCATGCTTCCCTCTGCCCATCTGCCAAATGCGTTTGGTGATGTGTTTTGTAGTTCAGAAGTGTCCTCTGAAACCTAATTACTTCTTGTTTGTGACATATTTTCCAGATGTGATGAGGGAGGCACTTAAAACACCCAGGAACCTTTTTTTATACATCTCTGATACCTCAGATCCATATTCTGCCTGACCAGTTCCAGGTACAAGCAGATGTGAGAAATGGCAAACCACAGCATATCCTGTGCCTAAACTGGTTGGTCACTCCACAATATCCCATTGCCTTTCCACGTACACGCACAAGGCTCCCACTGCCAGCCACATGCAAGAAAATCATTGTCACCCTGGTATGTAAGCCTAACCACACCTAACTACAACAATTACACTCACACAGTATACAGACAACAAAGCATCACAACAGTGACCTGTTGTGTCCCTCCCCTCAGCCATGACACATGAACAGCCATCAGACATGCTTGGGGCAGCAGCTGTGGTATCACTGTGGGGCAATATCCTGCCAAAAGCAGGTGTGGCAGCAGGTATTTATGAAAGCATGGTCTCTTCATCCAGTTATTATGCTAAGTGTCTAATTATCTTCCAGTTTAATAGCAGGACTGGATCTTAATTATGCTTTACCATTAGAAAGCATTACAGCAATATGACACATGCTAAAAAACACCATAGCCCCAGCATCATGCTGTGTCCCAAGCAGTAGGGCACCAGCAATTCTGGCTCAAGATGAAATCTCACCTGTCTCAGAGAGAGGTCAAATTCAAGCAGGGCTAAACAAAGAAAAAATTATTCATTCCACCTCCTTTTTCGATCCGATATCCAGCCCACCTGTAACTTGGGCAGAAGCCTCAAGCATCTTCTCCTCTTGGACTACCTTTAGCTGTTCACTATTTCTAGGGAGTAGATTTTTCATTACTGTCATGGTATAGTTTTTTTCTTATTGTAGTGAAAGAATCTGAATCAAAACTGTGGTCTCAAACACTGTTTGCCCTGATCATCATCTTGATCAGGTCTCCCTGGATTTGGATCTATCCAAGTCATAAAATACAAAATATCATCACCAGCTGAGAGAAGCATTTTTCTTCTTCACATACTGTGTAGGTGACTAGATACCTGGCTGAAGGCAAGTGGACAGGCCAGGATTGCTGTTTCCTGGAGCACAGAATATTAGATAATTTACATAATTAAAACTTTTTTATATTCTTTTTTTAAATAAAAATGTGAGTTACTTCCATGAAAGTAAACGTCGTCCTTCTCAAGGCCCCTTACAGTCAGACTATCAGAATTCATTCTGTCCTGGGAGATCAGTTCCTGTCTCCAGGGAGCATTCAATATTAATCTTCTAATAGCTAAATTTCAACAGAAAGCTTCCACACTTTCTCCCACCCTGCCCTTCACACTGGGTGGAGCACATTATAAATATCCCTAAAGTAGTATCAGTAGTCTCATTTACACCCCTCCTTAAAACACCCCTTTGCTGAGATGTTGCTAAACAACCTTACTGTTTCTTTCCCGGTTTTTCCCTTGTTGGGCTTTATCAGTCCACATCCTCTGATTTTATAAATGTATTTCATGCAGCACCTAGAACAATAGGCTGTTGGTGCGTAATTGTAAGTGCTTAAATGGTGAAGTAAGTAATAAATAACAACGAAACAATAAGAACAGCACAAGAACAGAACACCAGAGGAAGTCTGCAGGTTCCTGCAATAAGTATCACATTGGACCGCAGTCCCTCAAACACTAATGTATTTCACTGATTGTATTTCTTTTCAGGATCTCAAGGGCCTTTGCAGAAACTGATCTGTGGCAGAACTGCTACTACAATCCTGTGAAAAAAATGTTTTTATAAAAATGTAAAATATACTTAATAATATTACAAAATATAGTATCAAATTAATGTCTTATATTAAAACATCTAAAACTTTAAATTTCCAAAATTGAAAAGTATAATTAAAAAAAAAATCCGTAAAAGCTTCAAAAATATAATTTTCTTACTAAGAAAATGCTGAAGAATATTTTTAACACCAGTCAAGGTTCCTTTAGTCTAGGGCCCACAGGCAGTGGCCACTGAGGGATCTTGGATGTTTTCAGGAAGCAGGAAATGATGGCTTAAAATTGCTCAGCTCACTATCCCCATCCAGTTGCCTGCTTTTACTTTATTTATACCCTTAATACTGTGTTTTCTTTTCTTCTGCATTTGTTAATTTCACTTAATGATTTAGTTTCTCTGTGGTATCTTGTTCTTTAGTCCCTTTGACTTCTTTTTTTTTTAGGGAAGGACCTTTGGTCTTGTTAAGGTTAGCCACCAGTGCCAGAAGTAAATATATCCCACATTTAGTGATGGGTGTCTAAGGAAGAGTATAAGAGGGCAAACATCATATAATGCTCACTCAGCCCTCACAATTTAAGATTCAGACACTTCACGAGCCAATCTTCACTGGATTTTTTTCTTCTATGGACTTGTCCAGTTTCCACCTGAAACTCACATAAACTTCTGGCATTTGTCATCTCCTACCAAGGGGAGTTCCCAAACCATGTCCTTCTATTTGTTCTGGAACTGTGGTGGTTGTCCAAGGTCTGTGAGAGGCTGAGTTTGAAATCTGAAGTTCTCTGCAGAGAAAGCTGTGTTTTTAAGGGTGGGTTGGATTGGTGCACATCGAAGTCTCACCCCAGTAGGGAGTTAGGATGCACAGGGGACACACACCCAAATCTGGGAACTGGCAAGTGTTCACAGGTCCAGGAATATCAAGAGGCCTAATGAGCCTGATGGGGATGTGGGTGTGCTCAGTGAGAGACAGGAATGTGGAGAACATAAACAAATTAACTAAATTAACAGGTGTTATCAATGATATCAGCTATGCATCAATACACAAGTGGAAATTACTATTATAAATTACACACTGAGGGATGAGTGGGAAGAAAACACAGAATAGTGCAATGGTGCATTAAAAAGTCAGGGTTTAAAAGGAGGAATGAAACAATTTAAGTTGTCTTAGATAAAAATATTCTCTTATGCACTGAACTTCCACTAGAAGTCTTCTGTTATCTATTCCATAGGAACGTTAGTGAGGTTATGAGATTCTCTTGTAATGGATTAATTTCCCCATCTCCATTATTTGGAAAATGGAGAAGATAGACCAATAGTCAAGTCAAACTTCAACACCAGGTTGGGAGACTACTTAGACACTATATGAGTATTAAACAAAGTGATCCAAAAACTCTACAGAAATCTAGTGCAAGGTTGGGCACAACTGGCAAGAGATAGAAGAAGCAGTTTAAAACATCAAAAATCAGTAAGGTGCCTGAAAAAATAGGTGACACTTGACAACCTGTTCTATCTACAAAATTTTGCAGGAAAAGGAAAGTAACAAAAAGAAAGAGCTGGGAAAAGAAAGAATTAGAAAAAAAAAAATCAGTGTTAGGAAAATGGTACTGTAAAGAAGTCCACTTCACTTGTGATGGAGGGCCACATGCTTCTGAGTTTCATAGGGCTGTGTCAAGCTCATCTCTATAGAACTGTAAAGATGAATGAATCAACCCAACAATATTCCCCCAGTTTTACAAACAAACCAGGAAAATTTTGCACATTTTTTTTTATCTCAAGACTCTCATTTTGCTGCTTCTCAGTGAAAGTCCTATAAAGTTATAAATATGTAACTTGTACTAGTTTTTACATTGTCCATAAAATTAGGCAGAGATTAAATTAGTTCATTAAAACTTTTGAAATATAGGCTTATTTTATATGATAAAGAGACTATCAATGAAATATACGACTTCTACAAGCCTGGCTGCACAGAAAAACATGTTCTTAAACTGCTTTAAAGGAAATCTTTCTGGTAAATACTGCTCACAAATTTTATGCTCAATAAAATCAAATGTTATTGGAATTAAGCAGCTGTCAGTCAAAATTAGATTCAGCATTTAAACATAAGCAAGGCAGTGTGCCCTGACTGGTATGGTTTTCTTTTCCCACAGGATGAATGTCCACAACAAGCAAAGCATTCACCTTTTGCAAGCATTTTTTCTGTTTTCTTTCTTCAAACTGTTTTTTCTCCTCAATATTTTGACTGATACTTCCATTTCAAAGAGAGGATAGCTTGCCAATGTTGGTGGTGAATGTTGTTCTGTTTTGTGGGCAACATCCAGTATATGCTTCACACTGTCAGGTTACAGCCTCAGCCTGGAAAGCCCATGCTCTGGCTTTACTGTTGCTTCAGATGCTGTGCTGCACTACAAAATCATGTCTGTCATTCTAACTGCTCCTTTAAAAAGCTTTGTGGGCTGGTGGGACATGACTTGGACTGGGAAGCAGAAATGCCTGAGCATTTCAGTACCTGTCCTATGTCCTAGAAGCTTTCTGATATTGTAAAGGACAGCATCAAAACATAGTAAACTCCATTCAGAATAAAAAATAGTTTCAAGAAGCATTGATCTAGATGAGAAAAAGGTGGAGAGGAAGTTTGGTAAGTTCATTATCATGCAGATGCTTAATAGAACATGATTATCTGGGGAGATACCTAAGGGCTGTAGTTTTCCACAGCTCACTCTTTCAGTTCAGTGTGCATATTTGAACATTCAGATACGTTTTAGCTGTAGCAGGGGATTTCTCTCAAGACTATAACTGAGCTTCAAATCTCCTTTCTAGGCTGTAGAAGTAGTCCAGTGGGAAGGTTCATACAGATTCCTCTTCCCCATACATTCAGCATCAACAAAGTATCTTACTACTCTTCAATAAATACTGGAGCGAGAAACTCTTCTTCACATGGTCTCTAGAGAAATTGTCACAGAACTTGAAGCAAATCACATTAGAAAGGCATAAAAATATATCTTGTCTTGCATCTTTTTAACTGAAAAACTTTACTTTTGTCCTGTTCCTATACAAACTTTCTGGATTCAGACCTTTTTATCTGCATAAATGAACAGATGCAAGACAAAATCAGTCACCTCCTCAGACTGGAGGTGATTGTCATTCACACTTTTTTTTCTAGTGCTTTGCAGTTCAGGCATTTACGGACCATTAATAAACACTTATGTAACTATATTCCTGGGCATTTTGTAAAAATAATTAAGAATAGAAAAAGCTAACTGTGAGCCCTCAATTAAGTTGTGAAACATGGCTGTGCCTATGGCTGAATCAAATTTGACAGTCCATAAGCTGTGATAGGCCCAGGGTTACACAGGCTAGATATTACAGTAAGAAGGAACCATAGAATGGAAGTTCTTATTGCAGTCTTTCCTGTGAACAAAAGAAAATTTATTTGCAGATCCAGATGTGAAATATTTTATCCATTCTATGTAAACATGTTCTGCATTACAACTGGTGGATAGACTTCAGTGTTGTATTGGCAAGTATGTAAGAATAAATAGTATCTTCTGACTGTGCTACCTCATCTTCAGCATACCATGATCACACATCTGATGTCTCTTTCCTTTTATAAATAGTCTGTAGTGTTTGTGACACTTGGTAATATTCAGAGTAGTTTTACAAGCACAAGGATGCTCCTCCAAAGATACTCACACAAGTCTGCTTTCCTGGCATTTTTCATCTGTATGACTTTTACAGTAAGCAAGTTGCATGGAGAGGGTTCTGTCTGTTGAAAAGTACAAAATGCATAGGATGAGCAGGCAGAAAGGAAGAACAGAAGCATAATCAAGGACAACACTGAATTAAGTTTTCAGTTCCAATCAACAAAACATTTCTAAACCGAGGTCCCTCCTTGAGTATTATCTTCTTCTTCCCAGAAGGTTTGTAACCAGGTATGGCCACAGACACGAAATGTACAATAACAGACCAAACCTCTGATGTTGTCCACTTTCCAATCTGAGAAAACTTGTGGTAACCCTTAGTTTGACGTGTCTGACTCTTACAACCAATCTCAGAGAAATGTGTAATAGAGAACCTTGCTGTGTTAATAATACAGCTGACACACATCTTGATCTGTGAAAATTCACAGAATGTCATATATACCCACTATATTACACAACGAACAGCAAACAATCTGGCAGGGCAGGAATTAGTAACGATATCATGGTGTAACAATGCTGCTCATAAGTTGATTTATAGCTACATAATACCAATCTTGATGTAGAACAGTGCTGGGTTTTAAACAATGAGGACCTGAAAAGTGCCTTTTAGAGACCCATCCCAAACTTCTCAGAAGGGCTGAGAGCCCCAACTCTGTAGTTATTTCTCTCTGAATAATTCGGTTCACCCAATCTTCTTCTAAGCAAAACTCTCAGGAAAGTATCAAAGGAAATATTTACAGCCTTCCTGTAGTTAAAGGGGGTTATAAAAAAGAGGGAGAGTGCATTTTTACACAGATAGTGATAGGATGAGGGGCAACAGACTTAAACCAAAAAAGAAGAGATTTGGGTTAGATATTAGGAAGAAATCCTTTACCCAGAGGGTGCTGAGGCACTGGGACAGGTTGCCCAGAGAAGTTGTGGATGCCCCATCCCTGGAAGTGTTCAAGGCCAGACAAGATGGGGCCCTGAGCAACCTGGTCTTGTGGGTGGCATCCCTGCCCATGGTGAGGGGGGTGGACCTAAATGATTTTTAAGGTTCCTTCCAACCCAAGCCATTATATGATTCTAATTTTGGGAAACCACCTAAACCTAAGTAGTTATCAAAAGACATTTAAAAAACCTGCAAGGAAACTGGTTTGTTTTTGTCATCCTCTCTCAGTCTAAGCAAAGATCAGACAAAAAGGGTACTTAATGAGTATATAGGAGCTGAAGGTGAGGTACTTTTTTCCCTAGATAAGTATCCTTCTTAAAGGAATAAAAGGAGGAAAAACTGCACATTTAATGATGTAAATGACAAAAAACTCCCAAAACAATAACAACAACAAACACACTCACACATAAAATCCAAACAACAAACAAACAAACCCTAAAAAAACTCCAACAAAACTACACCAAAAAACAAGGGGAGCAAAGAGGAAAGAGAAAAACTAAGTAGTGAAGCAACAAACACATATAAGAGACATTTCATGCATACTACCTACAGAACAGGGGGTATCACAGCAACAAATACATAGATAAATATATAAAAATGTGCAATGTCTTACCATTCATTCCCTTATGCCCCAAAACTGACACAAATTTGAGAGAACTACATTTAACACCTCACGTCATATTAGTTTCCTGACTTTACCTATGCACTCATTGACATTAATGATAACTACTTATTTTTCCTCAGTGAGTTGTTTTGCCTAGCCTCATTCAGTGGAAGCAAAGAGGTATCTTTTTTTTTCTTTCTAATTGGGGATTTTCAAAATAGATAAATTACTGCATCATTAAAGTCTTTGCATTTCTGAAGGCCAAAACACAAAGTAGTCACAAAACCCAGACAGCAGCCCTGCTTTGCTCTCAGCTTTGGTGCTGAAGAAGAATTCTCAGAGCAAATTGCAAGTGGCAGAACACCACCTCCTTCAGCAGGTCCCATCTGCCGCCAATGGACAGCCAGCTCAGCTCATTGCAGAGCCTCCTCTTGCCTTTTCTTACCTCACTTTTGCTGTAGAACAGTCCCATTGTGGTCTTTTCTGCCTCTGAGCCAGGTGTGAAAGGTGTAGATGGATGGGTAGAGAGGAACTTCTTGTGCTTTAGGCTGCCGGGAGCAGGCAGGCAGGTGAGTTAGTGCTTGACTCAGCGCAGCCTGACCCCGCCACCACCACTTGAGCAATTCCCGACTCCTCCTCTCCCTCCTCCTCCTACTCCTTGCTGCCCGGAATGTGAGTGCACGCTGCACACCTGCACAAAAGCACAGACACCCAGCCTCTGGCACTGCAGAAGGATGGTCTTTGCTGCTGTAGTTACAGAGAAATTGAGACTGAAAAGGGATCTTCTCTTCACAGTTATAGGCACTGAGCAAATGTTACTTTTCAGCATCCTCACCACTTTCTGGCACACAGGAGAGCTTGTCAAACTGCAGCCTCTTGTGGGAAGGTGACTGGAACCAGCCAGGTTCCATCTGGTTGCCCAGGAACGGGCAACAAGGACTTCTTTAGCCAAGAACATCTGAACAAACCAATGGTCGAACAAAAGACTTTTTGTAGTTTTTACAGACTATAGGGGGGTAGGTAGGTTTTTGCTTAAAGACATACCTGAAAGAATTTTTATTGTCCCCGTCTCACATTCCGTTCTTCTAAACTCAAGCAGTAAACTGTCTGTCAACCAAACAGATATTGCAGTGACAAATATCACGTGAAACAATTCCCAAGTCACCTGTTGAAACTGTAATAGAATTTTCTTTATAAAGAAAAAGCTTTAAAAGCTCACTCACTTTCTCAAAAATTTTGTTATTTTTTGCATGCAAATTAAGGTGTTTCGGTGATCTCCAAGAGGATACATTTGTGAGAGTGAAATTAATGTTGAAATTAATGTTAATTATTCTTCATATTCTCATGTATTCTTTATGTCTTCACATTTATAAGGCTTCACTGTGCAGGACACTACATCATGTGAGGTGGTTCCTGCCTCAGTGAGGGAATACATGAAGTGAGCACACAAGAAGAAAAATGGGAGTTTTAGGGTTGTTTTTTAAATAATCCTTGCTATTATGAAAATTAACAGAGGAATCGATTTCAAAATAATTTCATTTCATTTTGCAATGAATTGAGAACTGATGGATAAAGGCAATTTCACGGACATGAAAGAATTTTAATTTCCTAGAACATTTGGTACTTTGTGACATTCTAACTTAAGAATTAGATCCAACAAGTGTCACCCAGATAAACTTTGAACACATTAAGGAAGGCTAAATAACAGATTACAAAAAGCAGTAGTCAAAGGAAGGAAAATATTCCTAGAGATTTGGCAAAAGCTCAGTTATAAGCCTAAATGTTTTTATGGATGATCTTGAAATTAAAAATATATATAAAAAAGTCAGTAGCACTCTGTTTCAAAAAGAAGATATTGAAACACTGGGAAACTGAAGAGCTGTAGAATCATCTGGAGAGCAAGAGGAACTCTCTCAGAGAGGGAAAGGCAGGTTTCATATCAGACAGCTGGACACAATGAAAAGTCATGTTAATCAGGCTCAGGCTGCATTCTACACCTGCCTGGCTTTTTTCCATCCTGTGGTTCAGTAAGTTTCCCCTGTGAAACAGACTGAAATATCCTCCATTCTGCTCTGTTTCATTTCCAGCAAAAAGTTCTCGGTAACCATGACACTAATCTCAAATATATCTCTATAAAGGACACAGAGGGATCACATGAGTTGATAATCTAGTGTATTGGAGCAGAACCACAATTACATCTGCCTCACACATGGAGGGATAATAACTAGATTTAAACATACAATACTGTACCTAAAAACAGGGTTACACCATGCCCCTTCAAGTTTTTTCAGGAGCACGAACACAATGAACATGCTCATAAGTGAAAAACATTGCCCACTCATCCTCTTCCACCACCCGATTTTTTCTAAGATGCACTGTCAGGTGGGTTTTTTTCATAGGAAGGAATCTTTTTCCCCCATCCATTACCTAGAACTTCATTCCATAAAAACAAATTTGTCACTTTTGAGCACAGTCAAGACTCTTCTGATCTCAGCACTAATTCTGCCCTGATGACTCTGTCTGAAGTTCATTGCAACAATGGGAGCCTTTTATTAACAAAAGAAAGATAATCCAAAACATTTTCCGAGTTGCTGTGAATAATCTCTTCATGAATCACAGCTCCGCAGTGCAAGGTTGCTGTTGTGAAAGACTGAGCTTGTGATCTGTCTGTTGCAGAACTGTGAGAGTCCACCTTCCCCAAGAAACTCTAGGATTTTTGATGATGAGAAACCACTCTTTCAGGACAATCCCTGCAAAGACCATTTGCCCATAAGTGTTGAACAGATGTAAAAAATATGTCTGGAAGGGATCTCAAAAGGTTCTCCTGCATTGCCTTCCTCTATGCAAACAGCTGACAGCCACTTCCCACCTCATGAAACACTGGAAGAAATTGCAAGGTCATCCTTTAGGAGCAGTCAAGGCAAGTAAAGATGAGTGAGATAGGACAGTCAGAGTCCAGGAGAAAACTGAAGTAAAATTGGGCAATATGTCTACTGCTTAGGCTGAATATAAGTGGTTCTGTGAATAGCAGCTCAGTTGTTTATCTCCTGAAAAAAAATGACCTAATCCAGGGGTATTTTTTGTTGGTGGTGAAAACTTTATAGATTTTACAATAGTGATAATAACTTAAGAAAGACAGCTAAATAAAAACCTCATAGTGGACAGACAATCAAATCAGAGATGACAACCTTCAATAATGAAGATAAGCAGGACCAGTACAATGGATTAGTTATTTACCAAAGAAATTCCAGTTTGAGGGATTGCTGTTCTGCCAAATGGAAAACTCACCATGTAAATACTGTTTTGATACACATTTTAATGTTCCACATATTTCATTGTCTTACACAACATTATAATAATTTATATGAACTACATATAACAATTGTTAAAGTAACAAGGTAACAAAACTAAAACCAAATTTGCTGCTTTGAAGTTTGTTTTGTATGAAACCACTGCTAAATTCCAGTCTGTTTGCCTGAACATCTGTGTAAATAGGGTGGAGTCCAGCATGTCCTTAGGATGATGTGATTTCTACTGCAAGTATAACTGGCAAGCGTCAAACGTCTTGATCTTACCAAACCACAGACAATCCAAGAAATATCATACAGAAAGTTAAAGCCAGTGTGTGGTGGCTAATAATTCCACTGCTTCCTCCGTGCCACTGCCAAGCGCAAGGCCCGGATAATCAACTTCTCGTTATTCAAGACATTGTAATCAGTCAGTTTCACCAGTTTGTCAAAATTTTCTTCGCTGAAACACACCTCCCTTGTTGTAAATGGTGAGAGGATGCTGGAGACATCAACTTTGCCTTCAGCCATCTCTTCAGGACTCCGTTCCACACCTGAGGGACAAACCACAAGGAGATGCACCAATAAGGTTTTATTGCAGCATGTGGCTCCTAGCAGTCATTTACATAATTATAGGTAGAAAAGGGAGATATGGAAGGAAAGATATAATTTGCCAGAGGGATGTAAAAGTAACCTAGGAGCACTGTATTCTTTAGCATCTGGATCAAGCCTGTATCCAAATATCGTTTTACATCGTTTGACATTTACATCACCCAAACAGGTGGAAATCAGAACAACATTAGCTGCAGCAACGCTAGACCACTGCATAGTCTTTGTTACCCAAACCAGAAAAGCACAAGCAAAAGGCAAACAAGATAGACCTGTACTAGATAAAATAACAACCCTCTCACTGAAAGTTCAGAAGAAATTATTGCACTCAGACAGAGGACATCATTCAAATTAAAACTGAAGATCTCTGTCCACTCAGTTCTCAGTCTGGGGGATTACTTTTAAATACATGAACAAAACCCAGGTGAATGGGTTTACCACCAAAACCACCAGAAGGTTTTGCATCTTTCTTTGCAACCAGCAGTGCATAACAAGCCCATGTCTGTAGAGTAAAATAGCTTGTGTTGAGGACCTACCACCCATGGTATACATATTTTGGGGTTTTTACCTTCATACTCTCTCTAGTAGTTCCTGTGATATAATTGCCTATACTCATCTCAAAAGTATTCAGAAAAGCTTCTGGAGCTCAGATAGTTCAGACATACTGACACAGACCAGGTTTGGGTTTGTTTTTTTTCACTGATGAGACTGATAATGCTGACGTTGGAACGGTAAAATATGATAGTGAGACATTAGACATGAAATGGAAAGGACTCACTGGGAAAAAGAATTTTTATTAAAATTGCTACCACAGATGACTCACCAGGAGCTTTATATTTCTTGAAGGTGTCATTTACTAGAGGGAAAAAAAGCACTGTTGGAGCTTGTGGACTGTCAGCATCTTCAAACACGTAGCATTCCTTCAAGTTTTCCCTGTCTTCCTCACTTATCTCAATTTTGGGAAATGGAATTCCTTGCCCCAAGAAGTACTTTGCAATCTGATCCAGAGGCTGAATGAATGAATAAAATAAATAAAATTAATACAAAAAATCAAAACTGATCCAGAAACCTGGATATTTTAAATCCCAGCAGCTAGTAGCTAACAGGAATATTTTAAGGCTTGAATCTTCCTCTGGGAAGATGAAAATAGCCATAACCACACCAGACATTGCAGCTTATCTTATTTTCCACATTGTTTTAGGCAAAATAAGAAAACAGTCCCTTTCTTTGAACTTGAAAATGAAGCCAAAAGCCACAGGACTAATTTCATAATTCCAGTGAAACAAGTTCAGAAGGGGAAGGCAAAGAAACTGCAAGAATGGAGATGAAGCACATCAGTCCAAATTATTCTGTATCATTGTCTTGACATCTTCATTATTTACCACTTTCCCAGTCTTTCTGTCCTCTCCATAATTGGTGATTGCTTGATAATGACTCCCTATTAACAAATACACTTATCAACATACCTTATGATCTCATAAAAAAAAACTTTAACAGCTATATTTACTATAAACCTATGTTTATTTTTATATTATTCTCATTATATATGCAACACTACCTATATTAATTTTAATTA